AATTGCAAAACAAAAACAACAACAAATATGTAGTGCAACGTGGAAACAAAATTATAAGAAAATACGTTGTGTTAGAATTGAATAGAACTGGTAGATGGCTCCATGCCAGTGTTCCCCAAATTAAAATGGCAATATTAAAGACTTTCAAAAATCGATTTTTGTTTGGAATGTATGTATACATATGTATATATTTGAAAATATTCTCTGAAAATGTGCTGCTGATCTGGCAAATAGTTTAGGGGATATGCGGGTATTTGTACGACTTTTTATCTTTTTGCAATAGCTAATTTCAAAGTCGGTGATTAAAATTGCTTCGAAAGGCTGAACTAACCGGGTCATATATTTTCACACGAGTTTTTTAGATAAATTTGTCAGGTTATGATCGAGGGAATAAGATTATGTTTATCTATTCTATTTTCCAGGGCCCTTTTAAGTCTAAAATTTTTTACAAAAACGTCTTTTCTTTGAAAACCTTCATAATATATTTACAAAAATAGAAATTTTGAATATTTTTTTTTTTTGCGATTGCCTCTATGTATTTATTGCATTCAAAGTCTTTTCGGTTTTTGGATTTCAGATAGTATTTAGTTGAAAAATTTCCTTCACCGCCAAACGCCTTTTGTAGATCCCGTTGGCGATAAATATTTTAATTTTCTTTGTAGTAAAATGCCGCTTCGAAAAAAAATCACGAAACTAATTCTTTAACTTGTTTAACGATTTATATATTCATGTTATCAAAATGCTACACCCAATTCAGTTTAGTGAACGCCAAATTAGTTAACTGTTCCCCAAAAATAAGGCGACATTTGAATTTAAACTGCGTGCGTCGAAGGATTTGGAGAATTATTATTATTTTTTTTTTTTGTTTGGTTGGTAGTACTGTCAGTCATATTAATGTCAAATTTGATGTCAAAATATTCATTAGGGTTTGAGATACGTGTCGTTTTGTGAGCTGCTAAAAGTGCGTTTTTCGTTTTTTGCGATGTCGGAATTGGTTGTCCAAAGAATTTGCATTAAATGTTGTTTACGGAAGCAATTTTCTGCTGCGGATACGTTGAGGATGGTGCAGAAAGCATGTTTTGGGAATCAAACGCTTCAAATCTCGACTGGTACCGAAAACATTGAATATTTTGGAAAAAAGGCGTCGCGTTGAAGTGTGGGAAACGATGCTTTTCGACTACCAGGGTGTCATGAAACGCATTATAACTGGCGATGAGACTTGGATCTATGCTTACAACCCTGAAACAACCGATCAGTCGAGCGAATATCGAGCCAAAGGAGAGCCGAGACCAAAAAAATCACGCCAAAGTCGCTCAAAAATCAAGATCATATTGACAGTTTTCTGCGATTATCGTGGTGTTGTGCATTATGAATTCCTTCCAACCGGTCAAACAGTCAACAAGGAATATTATTTGAACGTTATGCGTCGTTTGCGTAACGCTATCCGTCTAAAAAAGCCGGAATTGTGGAAAGACAATTCTTGGTTTTTACACCACGATAATGCACCATCCCATACTGCCCTCGTAATTCGTGATCATTTCGCCAAAAACTCAACCCATATCGTTCCGCAACCACTGCATTCACCTGATCTGGCACAGTGCGACTTCTGGCTGTTCACCAAGCTCAAAAGACCGCTCGTTTTTATACCTTAGAGAAGATTCAAGCCGCAGCGAAGGCGGAACTGAAGGCCATCCCGGAAAGTGACTGCAACCAGTGTTTCGAAGATTGCAAAATCCGTTGGCATAAGTGCATTGCATCGGGAGGGGATTACTTTGAAGGGGATGAAATTGATTTGGAAAAATAAATAAAGAATTTTCAAAATAAATAAAATATCACCTTATTTTTTATGATTTCGGAAGCAAACTCAGCAACATTATAGGTTTTTTTATAAGTATATAGCTTAAAATGCAGAACCACATAAGAAGAATGAAATTACAAGAGAGATACATATATAGTCACCGAACATACAAACCAACGCATCAACAAAAAATAATCGGAAATAGTTATCAGATATAATAACCATTTTATAACCAAAACTCAAATTTGGTTTCAGTATGAATGGTTCTATTATATAGTTTTTTCGTCACCTGTAAATATATAAAAGGTGTTGTTATGTTATTTTGCATTTTAGGAGACGATATGTACTTGTATGTAGTTAGATATTGAAGCCCCAAACTCTGCCGATATGGTTTCGCTGTTATTTTAACGTGATTTATGTAATTGAGATTTCGAAAGTATTTAAGAATCAATCACTAAACTTTAAGTAATTGTAAACAAACCTAAATAAATGTATTCACTAAATAACTCCAAATAAATCCTATACATTTATATATATGTACATACGTATATACACTTATATGTGAGAAATATTTTGTACCTTAGTTTTAGAAAGTTTGAAACACCCTGTTGCTAACAATTGCAGCAGTTCCTTAACAACTTTTCTCCAAGTTTAGTTACACTACCCTGACTGGTCAATGTGTTGCTGTTGCCGCAAGTAAATCTATCTATTTACCGCTACTTTGCACCTTGCTTATTTTTCCTTGTGCATCTTTTGTTTGCTACTTGCTAATGGTCAATTAAGCGCTGCAGTTGCTTTTCTGGAGTTTTCATGCACTGCACTGGTTTAAAAAATAGTAAAATGTAGACATTTATATTTTTATAGAAAATTACTATGAGTAAAAAGTACTTTGTTTTTATAACTTTAAAATATTTATATATCTATGTCATCCAGCTCAAAGTAATACCCCTTGTTCCCAATACGCTTGTGCCATCGTTTTTTCCAAGCCTTTTTCCAAAAGTCAATCTTTACTTTTCACTATCTTTTATGCCCAATAGGGTGTACTGTGACTTTTACGAGCTCTACTTTTATCGCTTGAGTTCTCTTAATTTGTATGATCTCAAGTTAAATACTCATTTATTGTCCTAAGCTTTACAGCGAGTGATGTTTTTTCGATTTTTCTGCTGCTGCAGTTTTTCACTCGATCAAAGTTTATTATGGTGCAACGCACTTTTAAACGGTACTAACTACTGCACTCGCGCATAACTCCATTAGTATTCAGTGAATTTAATTTCTTTTTAATATACAATCTTTAGTGCAAGACAAATTTTAAAGCATAGTAATTTTTGTGATGTGGCAACGGTGCAGCCGTGCACATTCACAGTCAGGATGGGCACACAGTGGCGCACGCAACGATGAGCGAAAAATTGTGAAAGCACACATATTAGTTGATAACAGTGTTAATATTTACTAAGCAACTCTGGTCCGTGCATTTCCGTCTTCTTTGTCTTCCTCAACTTTGCTTCTAGGTTAATTTTTACCATGCTTAAACCCTAAAGTGCTCATATGGGTGTAAATGGTCGTATGGGTAGTAAAATAGTCACATCTTTGAGTGGGTTTTGCACGTTTATGAGCGTCGGTGAGGAGCATAAAATCGTCTTGTGATGTGAGTACGATGCAGTGTGTGTGTTTTTTTTTCATGATTTTCCCTTTTTTATGTTTACACTTAATTTGATTGGTACTTAACTTGTTATTATGCGCGAATGAGGGTTTTTAAAATTTTGTTAACTTGGTTAATTAGAAGTGTTGCGAAACTACAAAATTATAATGGGTATGCTTCTTAATTTTGATGGAACTCAGCTTATTTTTTTTAGGCTATAATATAAAGAAAAAAGGAAATTGTGAAACAGCTCTGAACATATAAGATTATTTTAATTAGATTAGACTTATAGACACTTGTTGACTTAAAGCGACTAGAGCAAAAAAATAATGTAACTTCGGTTGCGCTGAAACTAATCATAAGAACCTAGTGGTTATCGCTTAGTTTGTACGCCAGCTACAGGCTATAGTGATTCGATTTCAGAGATTATAACATTAATTTGGTTATTGTGGAAGAGCAAACGTCAACGAAGACATCAGCAACGTTGTGCATAATAATCATAAGCAGCAGTCGAACGAGAGTGAACGAGTAACAAAGTAAGGGGAATGACATGATGAATCTCCTAAATCGAAAAGGGACTCTACGCATAGACTTTGGACTTCACATACTCTCAGGGAAAGGTCATCAGTGTGATACCACACGATCTTGGTGGCCAATCGAATGGCCCAAAACGTGAAATTACCCTATCACCCCCATCAGTGTTCTCTTATGAAATCCATCAAATGGTCCGTCTTGTTCAAACCAAATGACGCCGAGATCACGAGCTTCAATTTCAGGCAACAAATAAACACTTATTAACGGTCGCCATTGACGGCTGCATTCTCACCGGCATAATTTTTGAAGAAATATAGAGCGATGACTCCACCGACACACAAACCATAATAAACCCTTCCTTCTTCCGAATAAAATGGCAGATCTTGAATTTTGTTAGGTTGCTCTTCGTTCCAAATGCGACAATTTCGCTTGTTTCTATATACCCATTGAGCCAGTAATGGGCCTCTTCACTAACCAAAATTTGGCTCGAAAACGTCGGATTTTTTTGGAACTTTTCAAAATGTCATAGAGCGAAGCGTTGTCGGTTGGAAAGATCGAGCGGCTTGGTTCTTGTACAAGTCATTCCATACGTCAATCCGAATTGCAGCGAACGGCGCTGAATTGGCTCTCCACGGTCTTCGTGCACACTCGCAGCTACGGAGGCTGCTATTAAACGTGAATAATGTTAAAGACATTATTAGATACAGCTTTAGATATAAAGCTTTCCGTATTCGATCAACAGCATATATGGATTCATATAATTCCCATAAAATAAAATCAAAGTTGATGCAAGGTAATGTCAAGACCTACTTTGGAAGGACAGAAGCTTTCTGGAGCTTTAAGGGCTCGTAAAACTTCTCTTCTTATTAGTAACTTAGAAACTTTTAGCGCTCTTTGATATAAAATCACGGGAGAGATACCCATACATATTTAAAATAGTCGAATATTTCATAACACTAGAAGAAATTGGCATCATGCTGTTAAAAATGAACTTTTTTGACTTCCAAACCTTTGAACTTCTACTTACAGGTCACCGATTGGGGCATCGAGCAGTGCCGCTCACTGCATGTGCACATCAAAACACCGCCACGCCTACGTGTCGATCCCGCCAGCGTGACATTGCAACGCGGCGATTCGCTGCGTGTGCGTTGCCTGTCCCCCGGCAACGACGACATCAAACGCTATGCACAACTCGGCTACAGCTGGACGCGCAACGGTGTACTCTTTCAGTCGAATCCCGCCACAGTAATGTGGGAAGATCTGTATCCCGATGGGAGCATACTCAAAATCAATAATATACAGGTGAGAGAGCTTATAATGGAGGAGCTTTGAAGGTTTTATAGTTTCATAGTGGAAACTTAAGAGCATTTTCATATATTCTTTACATACAAAACTTTTATATATATATATATTTTATAATTTTGAAGTACGATTTAAATATATATATATATATATATATTGATATATTTATATACATTTTTTTTTTAATACAATTTAGTTTTTTAAATAAATTTTCTGCTCTTTTGTTCGCACAGAAATCCGCCGAGTACACATGCATTGTCTCCAACACAGTGCGTCCGGTATCGAAGAGCGTCTACATAACAGTTATCGACCGCAATGCGGTACGTGTGTGCCACAGCGACACGCTGTACGGTGTCCGTTGGCCGACAAGTGCACCAGGCGCCGCCATTGTTGCCGACTGTCCGCGCGGTTTTGAGGGCCACTCGCGGCGCATTTGTGAAAGCCGCGATACTGGAAATTCGACATGGTTGTTACCGGATTTTGCGCTCTGCGTGCATGATCAACTTTTGCTGATTTACAATAAGTTTCGTGCACTAAGCGCCGGCTACCAGCAGACGAACTCATCCGCCATACTGAAGGCCTGCTTCGCATACACGGTCAAGCGGCATAAGCGCTTTCTGCCTGGCGAGGCGGGCTTTCTCATCGATATGCTGCATGAGGTGAGTATCAAGTGTCGGAGTGCTGTGGATATATATTTTTTTTTTTGTATTTTTGTTGTCTTTGTGTGTTTGCTGTGACCTAAAATCTCCGCAAGCGTACACTTTAGCAAAATGTTGTGTGTGTGTGTGTGTGTCGTAAAAGCAATCGCTTTTTATATTTATTTAATGTGTGTCAAGCACACAACAACGGTATTGTTTGGCAAATGTTTACGTGCATTTTAAAATTGCACTCGCCATGAAAAAGTGTCACGTGAGCACCTTATGTGCTCGGCGCTGTGGTCGAGATAAAGCGTACGCCGCGTGTGACTTGCGAGTAAAGCGCTTTTTAAGGCCTTTAAATATTGCATTTCATTGGTGATTCTTACTTATTTATGAAAATGTATAAAAATGTATCAAAAATATGTGAAAATATATATTTTTTTTTTCACAGGAGAATGCAATTTTCGTATTTTCCAAAAATACACAAACGTCGGTTGCGATACTTTTCATCTTTTTGTATTACTTGCTTTGCGCTACTTATCGCATTTCTTCTTGTGTTTTTTGTTGTTTGTGGTCATGTAATTTGTCACATGTGTCACTTCGTGCCCATTTTTCAAAGTGGCACTCTAAATGGAAAAAGTGGAATTTGCTTTGGAGGAAGGCCATTTCTATAGCAAACCAACAAAGCCAATGCGAATCGAAAGCTCACATGACTTCAAGGTCAAGAGATTTTAGTAAAATTTAGTAAATGTTAAGCATGTCCAAAAGTACGTGAGTCGCCATTTTTGTTATACCGTAAATAATTTCCTAGTCGGATAACTGTCAACTAGCTGTCAAAGTGAACACTTGTATTCGGTAAATTGGTAAATTACCATGGAAATTTTTGCATTGAACCAACATTTAAAAATTCGGGAAAAATTATATTCAAAAACGTGTTATGAGCGCATCACATCGGCAATGAGATGTAATAGTACTAATTTTTAGTATGTTCGGCAGACGAAAAAGTCTTTTCGTAATTCTTATTTTTTTTTTTTTTTATATTTTTACTAATAAATGTTTAAACAAATATGTACCATTTTGGTCGATTTCTTTTTGCTATTTTTCCGATACAGACATTATTCCTGCGTTGTAAAGCTTTTCTGGTTTCTCGGCAGAAACAACGACAAGTAATATTCACAGACTTCTCTTGAAGGCAACTTTACTCCATTAAGGAAGTTCTGCATTGACCGAAACAAACGGTAGTCAGGGCTATATGTTGGCTGAATCAGAACTTCAGAGCCAAGTTCCTGTTCATGAGTCATGCATTTAGTATGTCCGTGTCAACTTTGCAATAGTATTAGTTTAAAGTGTTATAATAACTAGAACGAAGTTGTGCTAGATTCTCAAGGCAACTGGAATTTTATGTCTGCTGTGGGTGGTGGTTTAACACCAAGTACGCCAGTCACTGGAAGAAAGTGGTTAAAGCTGTTTATACCTGTCAGTGCATGTCTGAATTTAGTTGCGTCCGTGGTCTGGAAGGCGTATAGTTCAATGACGTCAATGCAATCAAGGCATGAACTCTTGATATTCTTAGGAAGCAGCTCCGCTTTATGCAGACAACTTCAGATATGATTTCTAGGAAAAAATTCAAGCAGAAGCTGCTTAAAGAGCATTGTATTGTGTTTCTCTAACGGAATCATACAGGTCTCACTATGTACGCGTTCGACAAGAGACATCTGGATTCATGCTTTCCTCCGCATTTCACTCCATCCTGGTGACCAAATCGGTACTACGTAGTTAATACCTTGCCAGCCGATTACCTTGCATTTTGCCAATGATGTGTTTTTTGTTCTTTCATACTTGACTTCAGGATGGCGGCACTGTAGTTTGATAATGATCTTAGAGTTGTTGACAGTCGGTGTTTTATGGCCATTGATAGTAAGATCCAGTCTATATTCTTTCGTCCAGTTCGTTACAATGATACAGCGGTCATTGTAATAGTAGGGGAAAGTAACAAACCCAGGAGCGAGAAATATCGCAGTGTAGTATATGATAGTTACTACGACTATTGTCGTGTTTTTTTTTCGAAATTTCAACGCTAATTAAATAAAAACGTGTAAAATATTTATGCAATCCTCTCTGATGCAGTAGTATTTCCCAACTTTCTGGAAATTTGCGGATTTCGCTCCAAAAAAAGTGTATCAATTCGGCATTCAAAACTTAAATAAGCCAATTTGTTCCCATGATTGGATACGAAACTTTCCTGATGCTGTTTTCCATAAAGTTTTTAACCGATTTTGCAACATGAAGTCGAGTGTTGTCATGATAGAAATTTCAATTATTGCCTCTTGTCCAGTTGGAAATTCCGAGCGTTTTTCGGCATCGTTGGTAATGTTCTGCACTAATGATTTCATGCGATTTTAGAAGCTCAAAATGAAGCCGCCCCTTTTTATCCAAAGAAATTCTGGGCATTACCTTAGCGTCATGGATATTGGCCTTTATCGTTAATTAAGCTGGTTGGCCAGCTTCCTTATATGATTTTTTGCAATAAGAATTGTCGTAATGGATTAATTTTTTATCATCACCAGTCGGAGTCCGAGACAAAAATAATTATTTTTATTAGCGTTCAACTAACATCTCTGACATGCAAATTTGGCTCCAATTCATATGACATAAAGTTTCGTTGATTTCGAATTTTGAACGACTTTTAAAAGCTTTGCGAGCTCTTTTATTGTTTGGTAACAATCTTCAACAATCTGTCCTGTTTGCTTAGAAAGTTCTTAATTTTCTAAGCCAAATTCACCACTGTCGACTCGAGAAAACCCCTTTGTAATTGTATGCATGTACACTTCCAATTTTTCCATTTGGAAAGCATCATAGCGCAGTAGATAAGCTCAGTTGAACTCCATATTGTCAATGTCACCCTTGATTATTCATAAGAGAAAGTGAGTAACAAGTATGTGCAAGTTAATAACAAAATATCAGAAGCAATTGTATTAAATTTGTTGACGAATGTGTGCTAACTTGGTGACCCACTCTGAATTTGGGTAAAAGAAAAGTTTTGATATCCTTTAAATGTATCAAATATACTGAAAAAGACGCTCATAGATAATAACTTTCCAAAGGATGTGCGAAATAATTGAAATTGAAAATATAATCGAGTTACTCTATCTCTTGGCCAAACGCATGAATATAGTTACATACCAATACTTGCCAGCCAATCTTATGTATATGTATTAAGATGCCGTATATAATTTTTTTCAGACATACATGTACCATCGGTATTACTACTAGAGACTGTCTTGGAAAAGGTGATTCCGAAGATTTACCTCAGCCGCCATTTCTATCAATAGTCAACAAAATAGTTCTGAATAATGAAATATAATTAGTTTTTAATAATATATTCTTAGATGCTGAAATATAATTATATTTAATGATTTGATTTCCTATTTTTGGCTACCACAAAAAATGTCCAAAGTTAGGACTATTTAAAGAGCTAAAGACTGTCTTTAAGCGTAAATAGCCACAATTGTCGTTTTAGTAATGTGAACAATCACAAGCAGACTATCAAATCGATCTAAAATTCAGAAGCAGTGATTGTTGTTTGCTGTGATGTTCTGTTGATTCTGGGTGGTCACTAGGGTTGAGTGCAGAGTTTGTACGACTGCATTTCGTGGGTTTTCCAAATACCACACCCACATCCCAGTGCAAATGTGATCTTATGAAAACTTGTTTACGTTTAAATAACACCCAGTGGTTGAAGATTTTCACTCTAGCATATTGCTTCTAGCCATACTCCTACCAATCCTCTATTATATCAGTGTAAGCTTCTTCTTCAGTGTAAGCACAGTAGTCAAAATGTTGGTTGAACATTACCGTATTAAAGCATTACTTAATAAATTATTATTTTAAAATCGAATAACTTATTGATTATATCAGATCAGCTATACGAAGCACAGCTCTCATACAACAATACCAATAACCACTAACGTAACCAAACTAAAAAGTTTTCTAATCGCATACCAACAGCCTTGCAATCTAAATATATATTCGTTAGTTTCCACACACATACAAAGAAAGTTTTCATACAAATATTGGCCAATTGCAGATAAACGAGTGTGCTCACTTGCAACAACAAGAACATTTAACCTTCTACACCAACAATTTTAACTGCAGAAGCCGCACATTTGTTCAGGTGCAAGCCGGCCGCAACAACCATGGCCACATTTTAACTACAACCACACTTGTGGCACACAACCACTGCTTGAACATTTTTCAACAAATCAAACAGAAAGTGAATGCGCTAACGGTAGCGTAGAATGAAAAAGCAAAAGCAGCACAAAGCAACAAATCATATAAATAACGAATGTGGCAGCTCAGCTAAAAAGCAAAGAGGTGCCCTTACAAGGCAATGAAGATCAGCAACAACAACATGCAGTTGCTCATAATAATGGTGCTGATGATCATGCTGATGAAGGCAATGCTGATGATGGCAATGCTGTTAATGGTGAGCCTGCTGATGGCGGTGACGACAGCAGTTCCCGTTACATAGTTGAGCAAGTGCAATTTTTCATTCTGATGCACTCACGGCCAATTCACGGCAGCCACAAATTTTCGAACGTCTTTGCTTCCTGCTTTGTGCCCGCTTATATACCTGCTCACATCTGCCATCAGGCAAACGCTGCATATGCCACATGTGTGTACATATGAGCTTGTGTGCTGCCTTTACCCTTCAAGGTAGCAAATTATGGAAAAATGCGTCTGCTTGCTCAAAAAAGATCGTAGTTTATTAGATTTCACTTTTGTCGGAAGTTATTTGCTTTTACACACACAGTGACTACTTCCCATTTTTTTCATGCGTGCCAGTGTGCGGGCTTTGAGTACCCTTTTAACTGAGTTTTTCTGCAACTTTCCCACAGGATGTGCCGCAAATGCACACAAATTCATGTGAAATGTTATAACTAAGAAACTTAGAAAAAATATTTGAAGCAAGGCAAGGTTTGAATAGGTTATACGCGAACATTTCATACTTGTACCTTCAGGTACATAAGGATTGTTCCCTATATAGGGTCTAAGATGAGTTTTCACTCGATTTTATTCATTCTAGGAATTCATAAGAAAAATATGCTTTGAGAATTGTATTAAGATGACTCGCTCGAAAATCTCTTTTCTGGGTATATGGTGTATAAAAGCCACGCCCATTTATTCAAAATTCAGCGTGAGCAAAACTATTATACTCTTTAGCAACAAGTTGCATGAGTATAAAAATCTCACACACACTCTTACTAAATTTTTCCCAGTGTACTCTTGCTGGCATATGAATATTATCAAAGTCTAGCACAACTTTCTCTAAGCGCACTTTTCACAATTTTTCTTCATTTCTTATTCTTAACTTTTTTTGACATTCACTTTGTATTCAACATCTCTCATCTCTCTTGCTCTTTTCCAGGTCGATACGTATCTGCAGTTAAAGGGCACACAGCTGGAACGTGAGATGGCAGCCGAAATAATTTTGCACATTCTCGACAAAGTCATGCAAAATACGCAATCACTTAATAGCCAACAGGTAAGCGCATTATGCTCTTCTACGACTTTCTCCCATTGCAATTTGTGCGCAGAAAACTTAAAGCATTTAAGACAAACACATATTCAACTGTTCTTTATTGCATAAGAAACGTTTTTAAAACGATTATTACAGTCGTACTAACTACAACAGAAATTTCATTTTTTTTTTTTTTTTTGGAGTTTCGGTAACTCAGACGGCATGGCTTTGATTTTTGCAAGGACATTTAATTTGGTGTTTTTGCTTGGAAAAAACATTTAAAATGAGGGTCTTTTGAAGTCAAATCTGGAGAATTGGATTCAGTATTAGCCATTCGAGCGAATATTTTATAGTATTTCAGGCTACTTGAACGATCTGAATTTTGTGTGATTGAAACCTTAGTTGAAAACAAATGTAAAACGTCTAAACTTCTAGTAACCAAATTTAACATAATTAAACGAGTAATGTTATCGAGTAATGATCACGGCAGTTATTCACGACATTTACGTTTATATAGTATAACATACTTGAACGATTACTTTCAATATAATGCACTGAAGTTAAACTATTCATAAGCAAAATTTTTGCCGATTTACGCTGGCACACCGTGTATATATTGATTAAATGATATAATAATACATTTTAAACCCTTTTCATAATTTTTTGAACTTTTCTGAGAAAAGAAACAGTAAACTTTTTTTTTAAGGAGTTAGATTATTTTCCTATTGAATGTTCTTCTTTGAAAAAATGTATGTTTATTTTTAATAAAAATTAATTTTGTTTGTATTTTCACAATGTCACAAACGGAATTGTAATATAAATGTTGCACATTTTAATTTAAATAAAAATAAGTATCGACGAACGCGGCGACGAGAATCCTGTTCTGACTTGCTGGAAAAGTCTAATCGCCGTAGAGTAGCGGCGTAGTGTCTCGGCAAATGTTGATGTGCTGCTTGTGTTGATCGAATTGTTGATGGGCACAGTGTATGTGACTAATTGTGTTTCCCATCCTGTTGTCCATCCTTTTTGTTTAGTGGGTAGGAGTACAGGTGTGGTGAGTTGTATTGTATTGACATCAGCTGTGGTGAATTGCGCTGTTGCATTAGGATGCACCAGTTTTACCGGGTAGAAGGGGTGGATGCTTAACTCATTTAAACCCTTTCTCCCTAAATATAAACATCGCAAGGTTTCCTATGTCAAACTGGCCAAAAATATATGCAAATATATGAAACGAAAAATAGTTAGACAAAATCATTTGAACACCGTTTTTTGTAGTACTGTTAGCAAATTTTATTTTGTTTATAAGTTGATTTTCTGTTTTGTATATTTTTTCTGGCACTTTTTATTACAAGCCATAAAGATTTCTGTTTCTGTTCAACAATTCTGCTTTTGAGTTGGATTTTTTTTAATTATTTTTTAAATTAGTCCCTGAGCGCTTTATAATATATTACAAGTCGTTTACATTTGCATTTCTGAAATTAATTTTTTTTTCTGTTCAACAATTCTGCTTTTGAATATAAACAAATTTTACCTTTACATTACAAATCGTTTATAATTCTGTTTGTGATTTTTGTTTCCATTTTCTGTGCATTTCTTCATATTTCTGTTTAAGCTTATTTCAATGCATCATTAAACGCTTTATTACAGAAGTCGTTTACTTTTGGTTTCTAAAAACTGTGTCTGGGTTGTATTTCTGTTTGTGTTTATTATTTTTCAATTGCTTCATATTACAAATCGCTTGAATTCATATAAGCTGATTTTCATGGAACTCTACTGATCAAGTGCCCGTAATATGTTTTATTTCGTTCTGATTCTGATCGAAAAATTTGCTTTTTGATTTTATTTCTGTTTAAACTCCTTTCAATGAGTTCCTAGTCACTTTGTATTACAAATCTTTAAAATCAGTTCCTGGGTTGTTGTTTGTTTCGTTGCTTTTAGTCACACTTACCGCGGCACTAGATATTTCGGCAAAATTTTTAATTTAAAAAAAAGAGACTTGGGTTGGTTTTTTTTATTTTTTATTTTTTATTTTTTTCTCACAAGATAACAATCTTCGTGTCGGCGCCGGTGTTTTTCATTGAGTCCTTTACCAAAGTGGTTTCTGAAAGGAAAGTTCATGTTTTTGTCGTGAAAATTATTTGAGCCATTTTATAGTTTTTTAAAGACGTCCGAGCGTTTGAAAGTAGGAGGAACCGTAATCCGGAACTTTCAAGACGTTTTTCCCGAAACAGTGTTTTCAAAGTCGGTGAGGAATATTTCTCCGAAACGGCTTGACCGATTGACTTGAAAATTTCACCCGATCTTCTTAAATACTGTTGCCAGGTATTGATCGAGGGGATAAAGTTTTTAATAGAAATCGGTTTTTAAGGGGGTATTCTACTCTAGAAATTAAATTTTAGGCAGTTTTTTGAATTTTATTACAAAAAAAAAAGAAATATTTTTACTATCAATTTTTTATGGTGTTTTACTGATATCTTAAGAATACAGAAAAAAATTTGCAAAAAAATATTAAAAATTAAAATAATTTGAGGGGGGGGGGGGGGTAGAGACAGGTGTAAAAAAATGGCGCATCCTGGTGACATTGATCCTGACTCTTCTGGTAGTCTGAAACAAAAACTCAAAATAAATTCTTAATCAGTAAGGACGCTGTTATAGTCCCTTTTGCAGGGAGCACGATTTTTTTTTTTTTTTTTTTTTTTTTTTTTTGAAAATGGCTACTGCCCCCTTAAGGGGTTATCCAAATTTGTTTTTTTTTTTTATTAACTTTCTGGAGAGCCTTTTTATTAAATATATATATAAAATCTATGAGCATTTAGCGAATTTAAGGTATTATAAGATATCATATTTTATTAATAAAAATATTGGGTTCTGTCGTTCCTGTAGAGATCTTGAAACTTCGCCACAAAAACGTGTTTGGCGTTGAGGAAGATATCTCTGATCCTAAATATCTGATTTAAAAAAACCAAAAGGATTACTTTTAGGATAGATAAATACAGGTACTGATCGCAGAAATAGTCAAAATTTTGATTACATGCAAAACGGCGGCTTCCCAACAAAAAATCTTTTTTTGCACGAAAATATACGCCTTAAAAGGAACTTAAAGGCGATTCGAAATTTCTAAGCTTCAGGAAATATGTAATCCCATTTTCGCACTGTTACAAACACCGTAAATATCTAGGATATATTAAGCACCTTAATATATGCGCACACATATACAACACACGCATATGCCGTTAAATTAGATTTCCTTGAATGAAGGCGCACAATCAAAAAAAAAAACCAAGAAATAATCGCGTTACATCAAAGTCACGACAAGCAATTGCGCCGACATAACATACGCATGAGAGCGGCAGCACAACAAAAATAAAACCAAAAACAAGCAACAAACACATCAAATTGAAGCAATCAACTGGCGACGGCAACAACAATGGCAATAAGAAACCGACTGCGCTTTGACTAAAGCCAATAACTTGCGAAACTTTATTGGCAGTTTGGCAGCGATGACGTCGAAAATCTTGCTCTGACGCATGCAATGACTTTTAACGCTCACATGCACAATAACAACAACAACTAGCAGTGTAACTGAAACAAGTAATAGCCGCGAGCTGTCTGTAAAGAGCGTGAGCAGCAGCAGGAGAGGGGCCAGCGGCGCCGGCAATTGTTGCTTTTGGCTTTGCCTCATTGTTTGCAGCAAATTTAGAAGAAATCGTTGAGCGTTGGACGCGATGCAATGGCATGTGGATAATGTGGCAAATGCAGAAGCGAGCGCGCATACCCTTACAATGTCAGCACAGGCGGCGCATGCCGTTGCTTGATGGAAAAGGGGGGGTATGCTACATATCTATATTTATATATAAATATACATATATAGTACGTAAGTATATATGTATGTATATACCTTTGTATAGAATGCGTGTGTCTGCCTAAAATACTACATATACCAACAAATAGTTCGCAAATTCGGAAATTCGCTGTTTTCCATCTCGTTGCGCACCGCTCGCCGCGCCAAATGGCTGTTTGTCGTGTTGTTGCTTGTCGCGCCGTTACGCCGTTGCGCCTTGCGCCGTTTTCTAGGTATATATGGTATTTATATGTTGTGCGCCTTTCAGTGATTGCATCGGCGCTTCTGTTTTCAATACTTTGATCCACCGAACCAACTCTTCTCACTTCTTTTTCGGTACCAACGTTATTTTGATTTTCACTGCAAGTTCAAATTTTATTTATTATTCAGCAGCACTTCACTCGCTGTTGCCAACACACAGTTAGCTCATATGTAATATTGCAGTACATACCCAGTAGGAATCATGAAAAGTTTTGAGGAACTTTAATTTTTAAAGTTTTTAGTAGAAAATAATGAAACATAGTTATCTTAAATATTTATTCTGGAAATGTTTGCCATCCAACAGAAACTTATAAAATACAGTTATCAAATTGATATATTATTTTTTGGCAAAGAGTTGCCGTCTGGCCAAAAAGCTATTAAATATAGTTACCAAATAGAAAAATTTTGAAATCAAAAATTATTAAATACAATTATCAAAATAATGTAATTGATAAATTATAGAAATTTATTTATGCATATTGTGAAATACATAGAGTTACCCCCCAGCAAAAAAATTATTAAATATACATTACAATTATCAAATCAATATATTATTTCCTGACACGGAGTTTCCACCTGAGAAAAAATTATAAAATATAAGGCCACATTGATATGTTCTAAAAATCTCTGATCTATATAGATTTTGTAATAGAGTTACCATTTGGCAAAAATTTAGAAATACAATTATCAAAAATATATATTTGATATACTTTGTTAAGATTGATTCAAGCAAATTTCGGCATAACCTTTTCATCTAAATAAAATTATAAAATTCAGTTATCAAGTAACTTATTATTGTTTGTTATAAAGTTCCAATTTGTCAAAAAAATTATAAAATATCAGTACCAAATTGATATTTTTTAGAAACATGTGATTTATGCATATTTTGTCACAGAGTTGCCGCCCAGAAAAAAATTATAAA